CGTGCGTGCGTGCGTGCATGCATGTGTGTGTGTATGTGTGTATGTGTGTATGTGTGTGTGTATGTGTGTATGTGTGTGTGTGTGTGTTTGTGTGTGTATGTGTGCGTTTTTGTGTGTATATTATTATGTATGTGTTTGTACGTGGAGTGTTTTATTATTGGTTATTATATGTTTTTTTATTGACTTAAAATAACTATAGTCCTACTGTTCTTCTCTCCCCAGCTGGTCCATACACCATGTTTGCCCCATCCGCTGATGCCTTCGCAAAACTCAGTGACGTCATCACGGACCGCCTCAAGCGAGACACTCAGCTTCTAAAATGTGAGTCTGGAGTTTCGAATGCTCAGTGTAAGATTCCCTCATAATACGTCATTTTTCAAAATGGCGTATGGCGGAGACTTACACCAAGCAGTCTGTTTAAATTTGAGTAAACAGAAGCACACCGACACAATAGCAGTGAAATGTAGGACTTTTTATAGCTAAGGCAATCTTATCACCACGACGATGGCCATTTAGTACAGGATAATAAGTTAAGACTTGTTAAAGAAAAGAGAATTTGGAGAAAACGAGAACCGTGATTTAGTGCAGGGTCTTAATGTGAGACAGATCGACAGAAAAAATGGGAAATCTAAAGCTTGTTTGAAGAAAGGGATTTCATCAACATGGTAACATCATTTAGTGAAGGGAAAAATAAGACAGGTAGACAAAAACAACAAAGGGAAAGGCTAGAACAACAACCCATCAATGGAACCCAACAACAGGGCTGAGCATTGACATATGTGTTGTTGTACCAGTTTTATGGCCCGTTTGGGACAATTTAGTCTACTAATTACAGGTAGGAGACAGGTTTGTTCCTTCAATTTTATCTATCTATCTATCTATCTATCTATCTATCTATCTATCTATCTATCTATCTATCTATCTATCTATCTATCTATCTAAGAGAGTGAAAGAAACAACAAAGAGAGAGAGAGAGACACAGAGAGAGAGAGAGAGAGAGAGAGAGAGAGAGAGAGAGAGAGAGAGAGAGAGAAGGAGTAACAAAGGTAGACGTTCAATTAATGTATCGTGACCAGTTACCTCCAACCCTTCCGAAAAAGGACAATAAAGATAATAACAATAAGCTAAAAAAATGAATAATACCCCACATTTTCCGAGATGACCTACTTTTTCATGCTGACCAAACACAGATGTCCTGGAATACCACGTGCACCCCGGCACCCTGCACTTGCAGAGTCTGGACAGGAATGGAACTCTGACCACCCTGTACAGGAACCACAACATTGGCGTCTCTGTCACAGGTCAGACGTTGTCCCTCTTCTTCACGTTTATTCTAACATTTATTTGGGTTTTAGAAATGGTATAGGTATAGGTTTAACGCCCTTATCCCCACTTTTAGATTATTTAAGAAGCAGGATCTACGAACTTAACGTCCATCTCCAAATGGACGGAACCAAATACTAAATTCGTGTAAAGTGTCTTTCCCAAAGACACAACATCGGACCGAGCTGAGGCTCGAACCCCCGAACTCGAAATCTCACGATTACGGATCCGGTAGCCTAATATAACCACTTACCACTAGATTACCAACTCCAGGATTTGGATTTATATATGTATATATATATATATATATATATATATATATATATATATATATATATATATATATATATATATATATATATAATATATATATATATATTTATTTATTTATATATATATATATATATGTTTTTAATCTATTGCTCTCCATGATTTTGCGGTTTATTTACCTGTATTTAAGTCTTTATCATCTCTTTTTTCACTTGTATAGTATTGCATTTTTTTCGAATCTTCTCATTATTTTATATACAACATCATTTTTTCCCACTCCCTTTTGTTCAGCTTTTCTTTTTTCTTTTCTCAAGCTCGTTTTTTTACTAACATTTTTCTTTACACACTCGATTTTTCTTAGCATCTCTTTTTACGAAATCTTTTTACGGAGTTCCTAATATGGCTACAAAGTGTATCATTTTAAATTCTTATGGTTTTTCTGACCATCAATCTATGTTCCCGCCTTTTACCCCAATTTCCCTGGTGTTTCCAGACGACATCCGCCTGAATGGCGTTGCGATGCTGGAAGAGGCTGACATCGACTGTGACAATGGCGTCATTCATATCATAGATCACGTGCTCTTGCCCAGCTCGCTGGGCTCTGTCATTGGCTAGATGGTGGTGATGTCGTAAGTGCTACACGAGACTTCTATATCTTGGGTGTTTTCAATAAATATTTGAGGGAAGTTTCAATACAATACGACTTGGACCAATGTGTTATTTTCTTTTTTGTTTACTTTTTGTTTACATTTTTCTATTCGTCTTTTCCTACGTGCGTGCGTGCGTGCGTGCGTGTGTATAAGTGTGTGTGAGTGTGTGTGCTTGTGTGTGTGGGGGGGGGGGGGAGCGCCTGCAAGAGAGAGAGAGAGACAGACAGACAGACAGACAGACAGACAGACAGAGAGAGAGAGAGAGAGAGAGAGAGAGAGAGAGAGAGAGAGAGAGAGAGAGAGAGAGAGGGGGGGGGGGAGGAGGAGATGTAGAGACAGAGCAAAAGGGATGAACTCTTATCTTATCAGCCAGAAATGTTTTCGTAGATTTTCATGACCATCAAAAATATATCGTAGCAGAAATTCAGAGTTAAAGTAAGTTGTTTTTGCATCACCGACCACTTAGATCCACCTCGTTCACCTCACCATAATATTAACAATCGACAACAGCTGGGAACTACTGAGAGTGAGATTGAATGCATAAATGCAGGTGTGTTGTAGATGGATTTGAGAAACACTTTTGATGGGAAAGGTGACTCGGACTCTAGATATCAAATTGCTGGTGATGCAACGCGCTACCACTCGAAAAAGACGCCTGTAAGTTGCAAATTTTCACATTGAAAAGAAAGAATCATCACACCTATTTTCAACTTTGCCCATATATAAATACATAAATGTATGATATATATATGTATATATATATATATATATATATATATATATATATATATATATATATATATATATATACCACCCCCACCCCCACCCCCCCCCACGGGACTGTTCTATTGACTGAAGTGTCTTCATTAACATGTTCTTATGCTCAGTAGAATTGTTAATGGGATGATTCATCAATATCATGCTCATAACTGTGGTTGAATTACATACACGGAACTGCTGCTTTTTCTTTCCTAATCCTTACCATCGTCATATTACCTCTACTTCTTTTGTATGTTTGTCACTCTCTTGTGACCCGCTATTTCCGGGGCGCCTTGATAGTCGAAGCAGACTTTGTGCAGTTGAAACTAGAGAGGTGAGCAGAGTAAGCTTGGTTCCCTGTGTGGACTTCTCTGTTGACAACCTTGGCGTTCATATGACATTATGCAGTTGCGAGCGTCGTAAAAACTCAACTAAAACTGATACATTATATATATGAATAAAGACTACAGGGGAAAAACGGCGGTTGTCACAAACTGAAAATCGTGCAGGTACCAATTTTGAACGCTTGCTGACTCATAACTGTATTTCTGTTCAACTGCTGGTTGATTATTAAGGCTTGATTTTTCCATTCAACAACACGTAACAATAAACCACCAGTCAAGCAAACATGAAGTTATGAGTCCACAAGCTTTTAAAAGTAGCATCCTCACAATTTCCAGTTTGTGATTACCGTCGTTTTCCCCATGTAGTCTTCATAATATATATTCTGGGCGTAATTAAAAACACAATAATTTCAAAATGTTATAAAGAGTCAATCGTGCTTTGATCGTCACGAATTTTAGCGAGACACAGTAGATTTGATATTTTACTCACTTATGCAGGATTTTTGTTATTTCCATGAGTACCTTTCCTCAAGGTACATTGAACTATACTTTAGTAAAATGTGTTAATTGAGTATTATTTTACAAAATGAATAAAAACAATCATCCTGGAAAATGACACAAACCCTTTCCAAATAAAGTCCTTGCTTTTATTTCATTCTTTAAAAAAATTCCTTCACAAAAAGACGCCTTAACTTACCAAAACTGACCGCAAGTTTAGACCCCGCCTTGTACAAGGCTGAAAATCTGGCCGTGAAAAAGCAGAGCGGCTGCTAAATTGTAGCGCTTGTATTCTTTCCCTACTTTTCCAAAGATTATAGCACACTTGAAATGTTCATGTCGGACAAAGGAATAGGAAGGCCTCGAGAACTAGCCCTGCCCAAGACAGTCAGATTTTGCTGTCGCTTCTGAGGAATCATTTCCTTCCTGCAAATGTAACTGATCAAGGCATGCAAGGACTGTTTGAAAATGTTTTTTGTATCAGCGTGAGGCGCCGACTAGTAAGTTCAGGACTCAGATCAAGGAGCCTTATTCAGGACTGCATTAACGAACCAGCGACAACAGCGTCGTCTTCACTGTGCGAAGGAAAAAAAATCAGAACCCCCCAGTCACCCAAAACGACACCCCCTGCCCTCACACTGGTACACTGCCCATGTAAAAAACAACACAGTTTCGGGAATGTCATAACGTGTTTGTACCTGACATGTATCTCATAACGCACATTTAGGATGACCTGAACCGCATCATTTATTGGGAAAAGACTGTTTTGCGAATCTGCAGTAATTGGAGGTCGCCGTACCGCGAAAATGGGACAAACTTTCTAAACAGAACATTAACAATGTTACAAAGTCCATTTGATAATTATTCTTGGTCTGTATACATGTTATTGATGGCCGTACAGTTTACTAAGGATAAAATTTCTTTATTAGATATCGATTTGTGTTGATCTTCACATTTGTCTAAAATGAGTACTCTGAAAGAAGGAAGACAAGTATGTATCCAAATTATTTAAAGTATGTGATTAAAATGATACATGTTTCCTGAAAAATGAATTGACTTTTTAAAACACTTCTTTTAATATATTTTTTATTTGATACACACTGTACATACTCTGCGAATAAAGTGTTGCGTTTTTAACGGCGCTCAGTATACACACAAACAAACAAAAGTGTGTGTGTGTGAGTGTGTGTGTGTGTGTGTGTGTGTGTGTGTGTGTGTGTGTGTGTGTGTGTGTATGTGCGCCAAAATAGGCAATATAGCTTTAGACATCGAAACGGAAGCTCTCGTGGTCTAGAGGTTATGGAGTTGGCCTCTCGTTATAGGTCCAGGATTTTTGTCCCAATCCCTTTTCCCGCTCCTGACTCTCTCTCTCTCTCTCTCTCTCTCTCTCTCTCTCTCTCTCTCTCTCTCTCTCTCTCTCTCTCTCTATCTATCTATCTATCTATCTATCTATCTCTGCAGCCTCTCTACTCCTACTCTTTGGCTCTTTCTTATTGCTGTCTTACAGTCACACCCTTCATCTTAGGTACGTACGTAAGATCTAATACCTTGCCTTCTCGGATGAGGGCCAAAAATCTCAGAGGTCCCGAGTGTAAGTCCTTGGTGGTCCAAAATTGATAAGAGCAGGCTTCGGACCCTATCTGGGCAAAATTCAAAATTAGTTCCTGTCAAATTAAAGATGTTTAATGTGTCCAGCGTGCTCACATGACCTTGTGCAGTTGCGAGCGCCGTAAAACACAAAAAACAACTCCCCCCCCCAAAAAAAAACCAACAAAAGACATCAAAAACAGACTTCTGTAATATAATACCGCAAACTTTTAAAACTTCCTTTTTGTCTTTATGTGGCAAAGGTGTAGTTCTTTTATGCTTACACATTCCTACTTTTCAGAGCAGAAAGGCCTAGATAGTGGATACAAATTCTCCTCACACGGGAGTAGAACTCGAGTCTTCTCCTTTTAATTTTAATAAGAGTTTTACGGCACTTGAAACAAAACAGGTCATACAAGTGCCGAAGATCAGCGGTGTCAATAGAGAGTAACATACAGCGAACAGAAGGAGGAGAGATAAGAACAATAGATGTTTAATAGAAAAGAAGGAGCAAACACCCTAGTGCACCCGACAATCACCCGTGGGTCTTCTGCGTAAGATGGTGAAGCCCCTAACCGCTACAACATAGGCGCCAGTACTCCTAACGCATCATCATCATCCGGTGCCTTGCCGACTGGCGTGGGCGATCATGGACCTCCACTTCACTGTCTTGCGTTGCAGAAATAGTGTCTGTTGTTCTTGCTGCTCCTAGCCATGTTGTCATCTTGTCCAGTATCTTTTCCCTCTGTCTGCCTCTGCCTCTCTTTCCATTAAACCATGCCTGTTGTTACAATATTCTCCAATGCTTCTTTCCGCACCGTGTGTCCGATGAAATTTGACTGTCGCTTTCTTATATTCGTCATAAGCTGTCTTCCACAATTTGCTTCAACCAAGACTTCTTCATTTGTTTTTCATGGGATACGTAGCATGCGTCTTATGAACCACAACTCTGTCGCCACAATTGTTCTTTCCAGCTGTTTATTGATTGTCCATGCTTAGCACCCGTATAATAGGATTGGTTCGATGTAACTTTTCAGTACTCTCAGTACTGGGGATTTTTTTTTAAACCAATACAATCAGCATCGAAACTATTGTCGTAAAAAACGAAAAAATCACAACACTTTACTCTTTTTATAGCTCTTGTAATCTGTGTTTACATTTTTATTTTAGTTAGAAGAATAGTATGAAGGGCTTTGGGGGAAAAAAAATAGAACGTGCGATATCCAAATGATGAAAAGCATAGAAAAAACAAAGTATTAAAATATTCACGATCCGAAGGATCTCATGAATAAAATAAATAAATAACAAACATTTTTAAAATACAGAGGGAAAAAAGGAAACAAGCAATGCAAAAAAAAGAAGAACAAAAACAAAACAAAACATATCCCCCCCCCAAAAAAAAGAAAGAAAAAGAAATCAATTTAATCGAAGCAGCATAAGAAAACTTTAAAACAAATTTAACCAAATATTTGAGGGCAGCAAAGAGTAAAGATTCAACTAGCACCCTAAAATGATTTTTTTTAAAGGTCAAAAATTGGAAATTGTTTGTTTCGCCACAAAGCACTTCATATCCTGACCAACGTTCAGAAATAGGATAATGACGTAATAGAGATCCACGGATTGCTTGTGGGTTGTAGTGGTCACTTGATCCTTATCACTGGCAGCATTTGTCGCATACGTCACAGATTGTTGCGTCCCTCAAGTTACGTGGCACGTAGAACACAGTGGACTGGTCAGCTGGGGAGAAGATACAGGGGGTAGGGGATTGTTTTGTTTTAGTCAGAGTTTTACGGCACTTCCGACACAATAAGGTCATATAAGTGCCGAAGAATAGAGGTGTGACAATAGAGTAACATACACAAAAAAGAAGGAGGAGAGATAAGGACGATAGATGTTTGATAGAAGGAACAAACGACACCAGAGCACTCTCCAACCACCCACGTTGGGGGGGGGGGGTGAGGGAAATATAGTTTTATATTAAAGCGAGTGTGAGACTATACTATCTTAAGTTGTTTTGTTTTTTCTTTTTTTGGGTAGATATTTCACGCTACCATCCTGACGGTTCAGCTTATTAAGGAGGCGGGCTGTTTTAAACCCTGCTTGTCATTACCTTGCTGAGTGGGATACAGCGTCTAGCAGCTAGATAGATATTCGACACAATAACTTCTCCTCTCCGGAATCGTACTCAAGTCTTCTACTTGCAACAGCAAGGAACCTAGGAATTACACCACAGACGCCAGGACGCCCTACTAGACATTCGTAGTTATTTCAGGGACTGGACTCTTAACCTAATCCTGATGGAAACAGAGATGAAAGAAGAAGGAATCAAAATAAGCACAGGCGATAGACCACGAGCTCGGCGCTGTCTTGTAAGGTACTAACAGCTTTTTCCGGTTCTGATGTGAATCAGTTTTAAAACACGGATATCAAGTCGCAAAAACTGGAATTAGTACGTCATGACTTGGGTTTTCCAGTTCGATTATTATTTTAAAATCTGGCACCAAAGGGTTAAACCGATGCTCTCAGGTACATTTTGTTTAATCAAACTGAAACCGAAAAGGTATCCGGTCTGAAGTAATCGATACATGCTTATCGGGGACGTCGGCTATTCGAGGATTACGCCGATGGTACTTACTGTCTAAATTGATCAATCTGAACTCGAGCAGGAACTTATAGTAGAAATCGATATTGCATGTCGGAGACGTAAAATATCAAAGGTTACACTGATGATACTCTCCAATATGATCAAGCTGAACTCGAACAGGTACCTATCGGAGATGAACAATGGTATCGGTTGTTCGAGGGTTAAACCGGCGGAATCCAACACGAACAAATTATTGAAACCGAACAGGTACCTGGCTCGTAGTAGTTGTAGGTTCTGACGTAGGTCCGTTCACTCCGGGCAACCTTAGCGTTACGTGACATGAGGACACTGTAGCACAGGGACGTCTTGGTGATCTGTACGGCAAATAAACAGCAGCAATGACAGATAAACAAAAAGCAGCTATTTAAAATAGATAATATATAGCAGATATGATGAAGAAAAAAAATAAGCTTGGAATTACGGTTAAACAGGTGTGTTGGCGAATGAATAAAAGCAAAGAGCTGAATCAAACTCCTGAGCAAGTGGGACAACTCAGAAGCTTCTACAACGTTACAAGATAAGACAATTTGCGCGTTATGTCCTTTCGTCAAGGGTGAGGGGGGAATGGAGAGGAAGGGGAGGCAGAAGATATTATTGCACATTTTATTTATCTGTTCCTTTTTCCCCACAAGGGTGTATGCTTATTTTTCTTTCTTTTTTCCCTCACTACATCCCCAACCACCACCACCACTC